ATCTTTGGGATCTCATGCCAACTGTTAAGGAAATCAATGACAAATTTCAAGCTCCTTGCTCCTGAATGGCTTTTAAAATGACTTATAATTTCCCTTGCATCTTTACCATCAAATCCTTCCATTCATTTCAACTGGTAAAAGAACCAAATCTTGGATTACGATAAACATTTCCTAGCAAATCTCCTTATTTCCAATCCTTTGCCACTCCACCCCTACAATCCTTGTTCTCCACAATTCAGATCAGGCCACTTGTCTGCTGAAAGCTCTCCAATGGCATTACTCTCTTAAGAGTCAAATTCAGGCTCCTTTCCATGCCCTGGGACCCTACAGAATCTGCACTCCACCTGGCTCTGACCTAATCAATGTACCATGCCCCCTTGCTCACTTTGATGCAGCCATATTGGTCTTCTTTCTGTTGCCTGAACACCCTGGACACCTTCTCATTTTAGAGTCCTTGTGTTCGCTTTTCCCTCTTGGAATCCTCTGCCCCAAATGTGCTTATTGACGGCACCTTTGTACTGTTCAAGACTCAGCTTACAAGGCGCCTCTCTGGGGAGGTCTTTTCTGACTAGCTAGCCTAAGGTAGCCTTCATCAGTTACTCTTTAATACCCTGCTTCACTTTGCCACTATCTGAAATGTACTAGTCCATTCATTCATTAATGTAACAAAATGCCTGTCTCATACTGCCCCCAAACTTAACTATCTTTTTTCTTTTTTTTCTTTTTAAATGTTTTATTTATTTATTCATGAGAGTCAGAGAGAGAGAGAGAGAGGCAGAGGGAGAAGCAGGCTTCCCGCCTAGCGGGAAACTCGATGTGGGAATCTATCCCAGAACCCTGGGATCATGACCTGAGCCGAAGGCAGACGCTTAACCATCTGAGCCACCCAGGCGCCCCCAAACTTAACTATCTTAAACTATCTGCTTACCTACTGAAAGGAGAGAGTGAGCCTTGCATTTCTGCACTTGTATAATTTCTCTTTCAACCTATTTTGTTTATTAATCACATAGTTTACATTAGTTTTGTGCCTGTTGTAATTCTGGGATAATTTGCTTCAGAGGAAAGAAAAGTTATAATTTCAGAGTAAAGGGCAGATGATCCAGAGTTTTAAGTATAAAGTCCCTGACCTCAAACAAGATGGTGATCTCCACAGCTAAGAATCAGACCTGACTATTAGTAGTAAATGAAAAAAAGGAAGTCACTTTTTATGCACAGATTTTAGGACAAGAACTTACAGGAAATGCCAAACTGGAGCAAGCCAATGGCTCACACAACCACCACAGTGTTCGGTCTTTGATGGTCGCTCTCAAGGAAGTTTATGGGACTGATAATTATCTCTCTGGATGTC